CTGAAATAGTAATAAGCAATTTTATGTACTGTTGGTATGTTATATTGCATTAATAAAAAATGCAATAATGAACAACATTTTTATTGTAATTGTCTTTAAATTCTAATTAAATTCAGCTTTCAGGCTGCAACTTTAGACTTTATAAACCGTCTATCTGTCTATTTATTCTGTAGGTGTTCTTAAAGTGCACCTTCACGATTTTTTTTAATCTTTAAAATGAAAATTGAGGTTAATGGAAACGTATCTGTAAAAGAATTTTTCATTTTTATAAAAAAGCGAATTTTTGGTGAGCTTACAAACATAGGAAAATGTCCACTTTGAGCTCTTTTTTTGGTTCAATACCGGGAAAGGACTGGGACTGACTCTGACGTCATCCCAGGACAAGGCATTTGTTGTTATCGAAGCTTGACAGTGGATTTTATCGCGAGTCAACTCCAAAAATCTTATTTAACATCGATTTTTATGCTCTTTTGCGAATGAAATGACCATCAAGTGCGTTGTTATTCTTTTGGCCTCGGCACAAAATACACAAAACAGCCATTAGTCATTTGAGACAAAGTTCTCTATGCCCGGCAGTCGTAGTCGAGAAAATGAAATAAGTACGATAAGGCAAACACATGACTGAAAATATTCTTCCTTTCAAGCGCTTTTCTAATTTCATGAAATGAAAGGACTACGAATCCAGAAATGAACACTCTTTCGTTCTTGAAACATTTTACATGTAGGCGCTTTCTAAGCGATCCAGAAGCGAAGCGTAGAGTTTTAGTTGTTTTCAGTTCAAAATTATGAGTGCCGGGCATCGTATGTCCCCGATTTTGAAACCGCCGATCAAACTCAGCGTGGTGCTCTTATGACAAAAGTTGACCTCAGATTCGTTTCGTCATATACTGGTTCACAAGGACGATTGGGAGCTCTTAGGAACTACGTGGCCCATCGAGATGGATGGTGAATTACGTGCCGGATATTTTATTGACATGTTTCTTCCTTTTGGCCTTCGCAGCTCACCCTCGCTATTTCTTCGTTTCTCTGACGCTCTTGACTTCATTATGAAGGACAAAGGTGCGTCAGCTGCATGATTTTGGTAGTGCGGGCCGCCTGCCCCTGATCAGACATGTAAAACGAACTACGACCTAAGGTCAGCAGGGGTGGATCTAGCATTTTTCTTCACTAGTGCCATGCTCGAAACAACATACTAAGTCTGTCATATACATAATTAAAATAAGTATAAGTTTATACATAGCAAAACTATTTACTGGTTGTTGTGCATAATGTCATTCATCCTCAATCGCCTTGGATGCATTTGCGCAAATAAATCAATTACTTGTTCTAATTGAATGTGTTTGTCCCTATGGACATACATTAATKCAAGTCCATTCAACCTGTCTTGAGYCATAGTACTTCGGAGATATGTTTTCAAATATCTCAGTGTTGAAATTGATCTCTCACATGTGGCTGATGAGATAGGGATTGTAGCAAGAAGCTTCAAAATAGTAAAAATATTACTATATGCCTGGTGATCAACAACCTCTAAAGCTTTTGCAATTCTGTCAGGAATGTTCCCACCTCTATTTTGCTGGTTTCTCCATAACCTTTCCCACATTATTAGCTCAGCATCCAGTCCAGCAATGTTAGGTAGATCTTGTCGATATCCATTGCAAAATTCCATAACATTNTTTATAAAGTTATAACAAACAATCTACGAATTAAGAACAGTTTGAAAGTACTTTGCCTAACAACCAATAATGTTTTTTAACTGTTTAGCAGTAAACAGACTTTATAAAGTTATAACAAACAATCTACGAATTAAGAACAGTTTGAAAGTACTTTGCCTAACAACCAATAATGTTTTTTAACTGTTTAGCAGTAAACAGACTTTATAAAGTTATAACAAACAATCTACGAATTAAGAACAGTTTGAAAGTACTTTGCCTAACAACCAATAATGTTTTTTAACTGTTTAGCAGTAAACAGACTTTATAAAGTTATAACAAACAATCTACGAATTAAGAACAGTTTGAAAGTACTTTGCCTAACAACCAATAATGTTTTTTAACTGTTTAGCAGTAAACAGACTTTATAAAGTTATAACAAACAATCTACGAATTAAGAACAGTTTGAAAGTACTTTGCCTAACAACCAATAATGTTTTTTAACTGTTTAGCAGTAAACAGACTTTATAAAGTTATAACAAACAATCTACGAATTAAGAACAGTTTGAAAGTACTTTGCCTAACAACCAATAATGTTTTTTAACTGTTTAGCAGTAAACAGACTTTATAAAGTTATAACAAACAATCTACGAATTAAGAACAGTTTGAAAGTACTTTGCCTAACAACCAATAATGTTTTTTAACTGTTTAGCAGTAAACAGACTTTATAAAGTTATAACAAACAATCTACGAATTAAGAACAGTTTGAAAGTACTTTGCCTAACAACCAATAATGTTTTTTAACTGTTTAGCAGTAAACAGACTTTATAAAGTTATAACAAACAATCTACGAATTAAGAACAGTTTGAAAGTACTTTGCCTAACAACCAATAATGTTTTTTAACTGTTTAGCAGTAAACAGACTTTATAAAGTTATAACAAACAATCTACGAATTAAGAACAGTTTGAAAGTACTTTGCCTAACAACCAATAATGTTTTTTAACTGTTTAGCAGTAAACAGACTTTATAAAGTTATAACAAACAATCTACGAATTAAGAACAGTTTGAAAGTACTTTGCCTAACAACCAATAATGTTTTTTAACTGTTTAGCAGTAAACAGACTTTATAAAGTTATAACAAACAATCTACGAATTAAGAACAGTTTGAAAGTACTTTGCCTAACAACCAATAATGTTTTTTAACTGTTTAGCAGTAAACAGACTTTATAAAGTTATAACAAACAATCTACGAATTAAGAACAGTTTGAAAGTACTTTGCCTAACAACCAATAATGTTTTTTAACTGTTTAGCAGTAAACAGACTTTATAAAGTTATAACAAACAATCTACGAATTAAGAACAGTTTGAAAGTACTTTGCCTAACAACCAATAATGTTTTTTAACTGTTTAGCAGTAAACAGACTTTATAAAGTTATAACAAACAATCTTCGAATTAAGAACAGTTTGAAAGTACTTTGCCTAACAACCAGTGAGTATTCAAAGATTTAATGATTCTTTTTCAATGATTTTTCAGTACTACAGGTCTCATTTTTAATATCTTGGTCAAGGTTGATTACTAAATAATTAAATTGAAAACCATTTCAATCTCTTACTTGATTCGGAAAAAAATCGGTTTTTAGTGCTTCTATTCGTTATAAACTCGGCAATGTTTCGGATATCTAGTTTTACTCCCTAGAGATTCCCTAGAGGCGGAGCTTAGAGAAAGCGGCAAATTCAAATTCATGTTCAACTTGCATTAATAATTAGGCCACGGCTAATTATCAACAGAAATCTTGAATTTACCAAAAACATAGCAAAGTATGGTATAACGATTTTAGTTTCATTACTGAATTTAGAACCAATTTAGTAAAAGCCCGGTTGAACCCTAGAGGTTTTTTTTTATCCTTCGAGAAAAAATTACCAACAAAGATGCGTCACCTAGCTTTTCCATACAAAAATGACTCAAAAATACTCTAACTTTAGGTCAAATTTACCAAAAAAGTGCTCAATGCAACAAAAAGCCAAATACATCATTATTTAGGTACATATCTTGGCTACAATAACCCGAATGAACCCTTTGAGATTTGTCAGTACTTTACGAATAACTTGCGATTAAGTGAATAGTACTAACGCCATTTTGGCCATTTTCTTTGTAAATTCAGCGCTCTCGCACGTCACCAACCGTGGCGGCGGCGTCAGTAATTGGATTATCGCCTAGCAATGTCCACTCATTCTGCCCTATGTTTGAATCGAAATCAAGCAAGAGTTTAAGCGAGAACAGAGAAGACTTCAAGACGCAAGACTCAAGTGAGAAGACTTCAATACTCAAGCTTCAAGACTCAAGCCGCAAGACTCAAGCTGCAAGATTCAAGCGAGAAGACTTCAAAACCGCAAGATTCAAGCGAGAAGACTTCAAAGCCGCAAGACTCAGTGAAAAGGAGAACATTGTTGTTTGATGACTGAAAGCACTCGAAAACTCCTAAAACACACGCCGAAATATATATTCTTCAATATCGAATTATATGAAGGTGAAGTCAACAAGATTAAGGTACCAAACCATTCATTATTTCAGTATAAGAAACGTATTTCAATTTGGTTACCGAATTTGACTATCAAAGCTAATCTTGAAAGTTCGTATTTAATCAAAAATGAATTTACAAATTTAAAGGTTTACAAATTTCAATAAATACTTATCTTGCAAATCATCAAATTGTGTTGGAACTTTTGAACATTCTACGAAAGAAATTTCGATTTGTTGAACTGTTTGTGCCTATAATGCTTAAAAATCTAATATTTCTTATAAAAATATGATTATTGTAAATCACATTTTTGAAAAAAAAATCATAAACAAAGCTTTCAGTAATAATTTATGAGCGCTCGAATGTTGGCATTGAATGTAATATTCCGTGGTTTGTGGGGGACTGGGACTAGTTAGACCTTTGACGTAGCTTAAGGGACGCTAAGCTAAACACGATGTGTCGAGTAGTGGTTTGCAAGGTCAAATAAGTGTTTTTTGCAGTAAATAAGGAGTTTAAAATGTGCGATAACAGTTCTGATTCGGATGATAGTCAAAATGACTCAGAATATAACTTCATTCCGGGTGTATACGAGTTTCAAGATCGCATTGAGGATGAAAACGAATGTCAAGAATCGTCTACATCTGAGGACCATGTCGACATTGAGAATGATCCTTACAATGACGAACCACTGGCCGACGAAGAATGGCTAAAACTTTACAGAGAAGAGGATGAGGAAAGAAAAGACATGGAAAAAGATCTTGTCAACAGATTAGAAGTAATTAGAGCAGTTGATTCTTGGTAAGTAAATGTAACCATTGGAACGGTGTAGTCCCTGTGGCAACAACAACAAATAATAAGGTTAGCTAATTTCTTTTTCTTATTTCTTGGTTAGGTGTAAATGCAGCAACTGTAACAGAACGCACTTGGAAAACATAAATGAATGTTTTTGCTTCCATGAGATTGACGAATGTGTACAGGCACTTAGCGACAAAATAGTTTTAGAGGACACGAATGAACCTCCATGTTGTATAACGCTTCTCCAGGATTTCGGCCTGTGTGTTTAGAGAAATGGTCTCTCAGAACGGCTGCAGCAAAATATAAACGTCAAGATCGTACAAGATACAAACAAACGGGATCTGAAGCAATGCAAGTGACAGAACTGAAGAACTCGATACGCACAAAGCCTATATTTGTCATATGATGTAGAGTTACAGTATATCTAGTTTTTACATTATTTTTACTTTCCTTTCTTACTGATTTTCTCAGATTCCTTCGAAGTGTTGCGTACAGGGAATTCACTTTCTTAATCCACGGTTACTTGGGTAACAAACGAGTACCAATGCCATCATGTGTTTACCATGCAATAAGGGACAAATTTCGTAAAAAAAATGAGCAATTCACTGGATATGAGGACAACTATTAACACCAAAATCCTGTTTTATTTATTTGGTCCATATTTAATGTAACCTTTTAAAATATTTGAAACAGTTTCATGTAGGAATTTCTGTTTTGTTTTTCAAATATTGCAGTTACACTCTTCAGCCAAATTCAAATGTATATTTCAAGATCTAAAATTTACAAAACAAAGCAAAGAACCCCTGTATCTTGATTGCAAGTACAAACATTTGTTGTTGTTTTTTGTTTTTTTTCTGTTAACAGAGCTATGTACATTTTTTTAACATGGCTTTTATACCTTTATATAGATTTCATTTTATATTCAGCAATATGCAGAAATTATGATCATTTGGACTCATTCCAAGCATATATGAAATTATGGGATATCATTGCCAATGCTTTGTATAAGTTACCTTGCACAAGTACTTTCTGAAGAAAGTATTGGCGATGATATTCCACAARTTATTTCTGATATTTTATATGAGCAAAAAAGATAATCATTTCTACATATTGCTGTTTGTTTATTTATAAGTATAATAATATTATTCAGTGGCTGCAAGTCTGTTTCTTTCGCACTCAGCTCTATTGTGGCCTTTCATCAGCTTATCACATTGAGAACAAATTGGCTTTGCTCTTGTGCCTCTGTTTGCCCTTTGCTGTTCGACTACTCTGGCTTGTACTTCTAGGGTTTGTTCTCTTACAGCTGAAATCAATTTCAACGTAACAGTAAGATTTCAAGATTAAAACAATTAGATTTTTCAATTATAAATAGAATCATATTATTGTAGAATATGAAGTTTATAGCATTCCATTGAATTAAAAGATACGTTTGAATGGTTAGAAACTTACGTGGTGCAGTGGCTGGGACATCTTGTACAGTCATTCCTTTTCTCTGCTGATGTTTCGTTATGGCTTCGTCTCTGGGTTGCCTTTCCAACATTCTATTCATTGCTTCTGGAGTCATGTCCACCAATTGTCTTCTGAAACCATGCAAGGTCCCCTCTTCTAAACATTTCCTTGTTGTTTGGAAGACCTCTTCCACATAATCTATAGAAAATAATATACATGTATTTGAAAGTAAGTTCAAAACCTGTGAAACAAAACTTCTCTATTGAGGTGTGATGTTCAAAGAGATAAAAAAGAGTGTACACATCAACTTCAGATTATCCATACCACTCTGAGTAATGACATCATTATAGTGACATTTTTTWAAATCACTGTTGGTTTTTGTGGTAACAGTATATTGACTTCTACATTGAATTCTAAGAGTGCTCACCAAAATTTGGCTGGATTCTCACATCCCGCACTGTGGCTTCTCCATTTTTGTGACGAAGGCCTTCTGGGAAGGCTTCGTCACTATGTCATCGGGTCTGAGTGAGTTGTAACCATTCCAATTGAAGCAGGCTTTCCTAGCGGTTATTTGAACATGTGATCGTTGTGACCATGTGCGTTCTCTAGCGACGTGTTCGTGCTTTCGAAGGTGAGTTTGTTGTTCTTTTATCACAATACAAATGTATTCAAACTATTTTGTGTCTAGAACTAGGCACAAATTTCTATCCATTTGCAGTTAAATTTGTATTTCTAAAAACATATTTCAGACTTTGGGACGCTTGATGTGGTTTGTTTGCTAACAAAAGTCCGATTGCTTTGCTTGGCTTTAATATTACACAAGACCTCAGTGCGGGCGGCGTTCTTCAATTCCATTATGGGAACAAATAAACCCAGAAATGGCGTTCAAAATCTCCTTCGGCAGACTCAAACTTCCCTTCAGGGAACAAATAGTCACAGCAAGTTATAGTCTAGCTCGCTTAGTCGTTTATTGATATTTAACTGAGCTCTTGCATTATTCAATGCTAGAGTACAAACACTAAAAGAGTCAAAAGAATTAGCATATTTTAGCAGTATTTAGTGGTATTTATGTTGCACAGTTCCCTTCCTTCCTTGTGTCATCCATCTGTTGAGTGGAACGTTAGTAAACATTTATTTACACAATTTACATTGCTCATTAATATATTGTTTTATATAATCTAAATACAGCAATATGCAGAAATTATGGTCCTTTTATTTTGCTCATACTTCAAGTATATATAGAATATATCAGAAATGGGATGTCATTTCCAATATTTGTTTTAGTGCTAGTGCTAGGTAACTTAAAACGAATATCTGCAATGATCATAATATCTTAATTTATGTCTGTTCCATTGTTCCCCTTAAACTATAGAAATTAATAAAGATACATGCTAGTGTTATTTTTGAAATTCACTGATCATACATTGAAATACCAGCCATAATTATAGAGTGAACGCACTTGATTCGTGCAAACTGCGCAAAACTGAATAGTGCAAAACTATTTAGTACCATAGTAATATTTGTTGGATGAATTTAGTGAGTTCACTCTAGATATCATTGCCTAAGCGTAAAACATCTACATAACAACGATTGTCAGAAGAATTTTTTAAGATGGAATTACAAGGTCCTAAGTTTATCTTTGTTTACTATTTTGCAAATAATATGAAAGAGACTACAAATTACACTTTGTCTTATGTCCTATTCTAGATCTTTATGTTCCTATTAAATCTCTTATGCCTGAGTCACATGCAGTCCTCGACTGCGTATTTTTGAATTTTGGCCATA